AGGATGGAGCCTGGCCTGAGGCTGCTCATGGCCCAGATCTGCTCAATATGGACGGAATTTCAGGAAAGGAGGCCAGGAGACACCGTTACAGCACAGCCACCACCACAGCCCTCTGTTCTGGGGTGCATGGGGCAGACCAGGGACGGCCCACCAAGGCATGCGCCTGGCTCCAGCCAGAGGACCCTGCCCTGGCTGTGTCGGCCCCAGGACATTGATCTTGGCCCAGCTTTGCAGCTGTCCTTGGCCACCCCGGGGCTGTCAGCTCCAGGGTCTCACTCGCTGTCCACTAAAGGCTGGAAGGGTAAATGCTTATTCTTTTTTTTGGTACCCTTTTTGGTACCGGGGATCAAACTTGGGTCCTTGTGCTTGTGCAGCAGGAGGTGAAACCACTGAGCTAAATCCCCTGCCTGGAAGATTAAATTCTACAGGACAGCAAAACCTGACTGGGAAGTCCAATGTCTCTAAGTCAGCAGCTGGGATCACTGGCAAATGTGCACAAGGACCAAGTAGCCAAGCTTTGTTGCAAGCTTGTCACATGAAAAATTAACCCTTGCTGGGATGTAGCTCAGTGACACAGCGCCTACCTGGCAAGCGCTTGGTCCTGAGTTCAATCCCTGGTACAAAAAAAGAAAAAATTAATGCTGATGAAAATGATTTCAGCCAGTGACACACAGAAACGTGAAATGCTAAACCCTGTGTGAGGCCTCTGGGAAGAAGCGGGGGGGGGGGGGCAGGAAGCATCCTGGACCCCTGAGAGTACCACAGCAGGGGAATCTTGTGTGGCCCCTTTGGTCACGGCCGCTCGCTGAGCTCGGCCCAGATCAGGCCCAGAGAAGGAAGATAAGCTGCCCTGTCCGGCCTGGGCGGGTCTCCATGGAAGAGGGCAGCCTGGGCTGCTCAGGGCTTGTCCCCAAGTCTCCCACAGCTGCCCAAGCTGGGGACAGAGAGCCAGGGCCATGGGGAAGGGGCCAGGTCTGCATTTGGCCGGCTGAGGGAGAATGCAGATGTGCAGTTCCCATGATCGAGGAGAAGTCCACGCAGCAGGAAATGCACCGAGTCCATGGTGTTTCGTACTCGGCAGTCTTGTGCAGCAGCCACAGCTATCCAGGTCCAAAACCCTTTCTTCACCCCGAAGGAGACCTTGTGCACATGATGCAGCCCCTCCTGTACCTGCCCTAGCCTCTTCTGTCTCCATGGATCCACCTGTTTGTACCCTCACGAGTGCGGTCTGCGTCTGGCTTCTCACTGAGCACCTCGTCTCCCAGGTGACCTGGGCCAGAGCTGGTCCCTTGTTCTTCTCATGGCTGAATAACAGCCCATGCACAGGTGGACTGCGGTCACTTATCTGAGTCCCTCTCACCCATTGGTGGTCACTGTCCCCGTGGGCTAGTGTGAGCAGTGCTGCGGTGCACTTTGGCGCAAGTCTCTATTTTGTGCCTCCTGGGCAGACACATAGGAGAGGACTTGCTGGGTCACCTGGTAATTACACGTTTAACCTTTCAGGGAACAGCCGGACAGTTTCCCGTGGTCACAGCACTTAACCGTTTTATACTCCCTGCGGGACCTTTGAAGATTACCATTGTCTCACGTCCTCACCTACACTACCTGGCTTTGGGCTCTAGCCATGCAGTGAGTGGGCTGCACTGGGCGCATCTCCCTGAGGGGGGTGGTGGGAGCCCCTCTTCCGGCAGGCTGTTACAAAGGGGCGGGGCTTGCTGTGCATCAGGAGGCCCCTGCGGCTGTCACAGAAACAGAAGGCAGCAGTCTTTCCTGGGCTCTGAGCAGCTGTGGGGAGCCCTCTGGCCTGGGATCTGGGGTCCCGCCCTAGGCTGAGCCTCTGTAGACTGCACTGAGGTGGAGATTCACAGGCAGGGGGCCTTGGGGGTTCTGGAGCTGCTGTGCAGTTCAGACCAAGGGACAGACACTCCCCTCATGCCTCTGGCACAGGTTGAAGGGGAAGGTGTCTCAATTATGAGCCATCAGGTGCCACCACCCCTTTGTCTCTAAGGGGCTGAGGGGCATGGAAGCCATCTCTCCAGGCCCCAGGGCAGCCTCCTCTTGTTCTTCAGGCCCTAGGCTAAGGGCAGGAGAGACTGGGGAGCTCTGCCAGGTGAGGTGACTGCATCCCCCAGCTCCAGCGCTGGTACCCCAAGGACCTGAGTGAACTCCTCTGGAGATCGGTCTCATGGAGGTCATGAGCTTAAAATGAGGCCACCGGGGTTATGAGGTCATCAGGCGAAAACAAGGTCACAGGGTGAGTCCTAATCCAATCTGACGGATGTCCTCCCGAGAAGACGAAATGAAACACAGACACACAGGGGGGTGACCATGTCAGGACGCAGGGAGGACACACAATCTGCAAAGCAAACACAGGGGCCTCAAGAGAAACCAGCCCTCCACAATGGACCTCAGGACTCCAGCCTTTGAGAGAGCTGGCTTGCTGCCGAGGGCCCCTCTCTGGTGCTTGTTCTGGGAGCCTGGGTTGACTACGACAGTCCTGCCATGGCCCTGGCCGTGTCCGCGTGGCAGTTCCCGATTCCGTCCATGGAAAGCAGCATTCGGGCAGCTCTAAAAGCAGGCAATACAAGGGAGGGACCGGAAAACTGTGAAACACCCTGCTGGGTGCAGCCAGGCTGGGCTGCTGGGTGCCACCCCAGCCACATGGTCGCAAATGGCTCTGCAGTTGGGTGCCTGGCTCCTGTGGCACCTGTGCTGAGGAGGGGCCCAGGCCCCCTTGTCCGCAGGGGAGCAAAGGAAAATACATTTCTAGCCTGAGTTCTGGCTGAAGTTTCTCCAAGCACAGAAGTCACTCGCAGGGTTGGAGGATGTAATTGATGTTAAATGCATTAAATAATTTAATTGGACAGGCTGTATTTTATGTCACGTGTCTCTGGTGCTTCGTGGCATCTCAATTGGCATGACCTTGGCACTGACATACAGGTTAAAGGCCTCTTTCTAAAGCAACACTGAGGTCCAGTCACCCACCTTCAAAAAGGAGGGATGCTGCTTGTGGGAAGGGGTAAGGAGTCAGCATTGGTCAAATTCTCTCCAAGCAACAGCCGTGGGCAAACACCAGAAGACATGGGTGGTGGGGACTCTAGGCAGCCTCTGGCCAGAACTATACTCAGAGCAGTGCTACCCCGAACCCTGCCAAGGCCTCTGGCCACCAAGGGGCCCCCGGGGCTGCTCCCTCCCATGGAGCAGGGTTCCCTCCTGCCCCCAGTCTGTCCTGCCCAGCTCTGACACCCTCCTGCCAGGGCCCTGCCTGGACCTACACGCCCCTTCCCTTTTGGCTTCTTCTGGTGCTGCCATCCCAGCCTGCAGGAATCTTCTCTCCCAGCATGATCTGTGGACGGCTGCTGGCACTTAAGCAATCTCCCCAATCTGCTATATTTTCCCGCAGTCATTGCACTTTCTCTGATGGCTTCTGTGGATTGGGAGTTAGGGGAGGGTTCAGCCAGGAAGCCCTGTCTTGGGTTCACTGGCCTGGGGCTGAAGCAGCCAGGACCTGGGCCGGCTTCCTGGTGGCTTCCGTGTGTCAGCTCCGAAGTCGCAGCGTAGCTTTAGAAGCCACCAGACTCCACCTTTTGGAGGAAAGAACGCGGGGAGCTGAGGGGCTCACATGTTTCCTCGTGGATACCCACCAAGGGGTGGAGCCGGGTGCTGAGAAGGTGACATGAGCCCATCCAACAGGAAGCCTCTCCCTGGCCCCACCAAGGCCGCCAGCGCCTGTGTGCAGTGCCCTCAGAGCCTTCCAGACCTACCCTGCCTAGGCCGAGCCGAGGACGGGCTGGGCCGACACAAGTGCACCCTTGCGTTGTGTGCTTACGTGAGTGCAATTTGTTTTCCACGTGCACACTCACACACATATGTACACGTGTGGTTGTGTGTGTGCGTGGTGGGTTGAGCATACATGTGCATGTATATGAGTGTGCAGACACGTGTTTGTGCGGTACAGTAAGTCCCTGAATTACGAACACTGGAGTTGAGAACTTTCACAAATACAGATGGACCTCGCATTACCAATATTCATAGATGTGAACAAACCACAGAAGTAGCTCATGTCTGACAGTAAAAATAGTTTCTTTACCGTATTTGTGTGTGTGTGTTTGGCTTTTCATGCTTTACATTGTATATTTGTGTCAAAGGTGTGGTCGGACTTATGAATGAATCTGACCTACAAAAGCTCTCCTGGAAGGGAATTTGTTTGTAAGTCGGGGACTTACGGTGTACCAGTGTGCAGTATGCATACAATGCGAGTGTAATTGGTGTGTTTGTGCAGTGTGTGAATGTGCTCTGTGTAAGACACAGGGAGATGGAGAGACGGGGTGAGGCCAGCTGTCCACTTTTTGTCCGCAGGGAGCTGGCTGGCACAGGGGATGCTGAGGGGCCCTCGTGCATGACAGATATGAGCAGGACGTGGCAGGAAGCCCTCCATGCTGGCCACGGCAGCTTTCTCCCCAGAGTAGCCAGCACGGTCATCTGCTTTAAGCCCACCTGGGAGCAGCTGGGACAGGCGAAGGAGAGCTGGACAGGCCCAGCCCTAGGGGAGGCCTTGCCCATCAGAGTGGCTCGCTGGGGACAGCAGTGGATGACACTCCTGTCTCCTGCCCAGCCTGCCTCCAGGGGCCGGGAGGGTCGTCTCCCTGGGCTTTGCTCCGTCCCTCGAGTGGGCACCAGCCCTCTCAGTAAGGAGCGCACCCTCCTTGCAGGGTGGAAGGACGCAGCACCCGCCTGCGACTGCCGGGCTGGACAACACTCACGGCTGCCCTGTCATCTGCTTGGGACAAGGGGAAGGGCCTGGGGGCAGACTGGCCCCATTTGCTCCGTCTTCCCATGAGGCCCAGCTCCCAGCTCCCCACCCTACAGGACTCGGGGTACTCCAGGGGCTGGGTGGGTGCCTCCCCTCTGTGGCTCCTGGGTGGGGTGCCTTTCCACACTGGCCTGTGACCCTCACAACCACCAGTTCCCCAAGAACTTCTTTGAAAGTCAGGAGCATCTTTTGTATGCTAAGGGCCAAAGGGCCAAGCTGGCCTTTAATTAAAATGCACATCCTTTAATTAAAGGCCCCATAACACATGAAGGGCATCCACTGAAATACGATGTGTGACACAGTCATTACCCTGCTGTTAATTACTAATTAATGAAGCTATTTCAATGAATAGCTTCCCCGCCACCGCTCCCCCGTGGACAGGCCCCTTGCCGGGCACGTCCCAACCACAGGCAACTGGCTCGCTGCCAGCAGCCTCCAATGCTGAATATTCATGCCCCGACTTCAACGCTTTTCAATTAAACATAATAAAGTAAATCCCTGTCAGAAGTGTGTTTCCAACTTACAGGCCATCTTTCCTCCCCCACTCTGTCTGGCAGGAACCATGGAAGGGGGAGACAGGTTACCTGGTCCCTGTCCCTGGCAGACAGCAGGACAGGGCATGGAGGGGGCTCCTGAGGGGCCCAACAACCAATGGCATTGTTCCGAGTGAGGGGGTGGCCACATCCAGGGGACCCAGTCCAGGAGTCCCTAAGGAAGCAAAAGGGGGCCTCAGGGCATTGTTACCCTACAGCTGAGGGACAGTGGCCCAGACAAGGGCAGCCCAGAGACGTGGAGGGGACACTAACACACTAATGAATAAAAAGCAGCCATTAAAAACCCTGCATAGGGGCGGGGGATTTAGCTCAGTGGTTCTACCGCCTGCCTTGCAAGCGCAAGGTCCCGAGTTTGATCCTCGGTACCAAAAACCCCCCAAAAACCCTACAAAACCCTGCATAGAAGAAAAGACAGAAAGGTGTCACTTAAGGTGACAGGAGGGGACAACCTGCATAGGAGCTGGGAATGGGGGTGGGGTACATGGAGAGACCTACATGGGGGATCCCCCGGGGCTTAGGAACAGGCCCTGGGCCCCGAAGGCTGGGCTGGGAGGGAGGAGGGCTCAGGATCTCCAGGAATGTGGGGAATGACCAGAGGCACAGCAGGGAGCTCAGCAGGGCCAGAGGCTAAGACTCGCAAAAGCCACATGCAACCCCGGAGCCTTCCTGCAAGCCACGGCAAGGCAGCGGGTGCTGAGTCCTCAGCCCACCACCCTGGAGTGGCCTGGCTCCCCCAGGAGCCCTGCACCGAGACCCCTCCCTCTCCTGTTCCCTGTGGCCTGTGCGGGCCTGGATCCAAGCCCACAATGAAGGCTTGACCCCTAGGAGCAGGCAGAACCCTCAGCAGGTGGACACTTCTGCCAAAGCTTGGTTGCAGCCTCCTTATCTTCTCTTTAAGGCGGGGTTAGGAGACACATGTCCGGCCCTGATAGCCAATGGAGGGGCACTGCAGTGACCCCACAGGAGGGCTCCTCTGGCTTCATATCAGGCCCCACAAAAGCCCTCACCCCACCCTGCACAACAGCAGCCCCAGAGGACCAAGGGCCAGGGTCAGGCCTCTGCTGCATCCACGGCCTCACGCCTGCCCCAGCCCAGTGAGCAGGGGGGAACGCTCCTCCGCCGCCACCATCACCCATGCTCTTCCCTCTGCCGGTGCTCTTCCACGGAGCAGCCTCCTCTGGGCCTAGAGAGCACAGCCCTGTCCCCTGGCGCCCTCTGTCGGCCTCAGCAGGAATGACAATGGCCATGTCTTAAGCTTGGGGGCCACACCGGTGCGAACACCGCACACAGCACGGAGCATGCGTGTCCATCGATGCACACTCAGACCTGTGCTTATTCACAGAGCCCCTGCTCCCAGGGAATGGAGGCACGAGGAGGGTCTTTGGGGGTCTGGGCCTGGTAGGAGAGAGGTACCAACACAAGTCCCTGGACTCGTCTGGTCTGGGTAGCACTATTGCCCAAGAAACCACTGCGGGCTCTGAAAGCTCTGTCCCAGAAATCAGAGCTTTGGGCTCCAGGTACTGGGTCCAGGAGACTGAGGATCTGCCCCTGAAGACCTTCATTGAAGGCAGGGTGGTCCCCAACAATGGCCCGTCAGCTCTGTGCATGTACAGGCCCGCGGCTGGGGCTCCTAGCCTGACGGACCTGCAGTGGCCCCAGAAGGCAGCCAAGCTGCATCTCACCACTCATGCTGAAGGCTGCAGGTCCTGCTCAGACCCGCTTGGCTCATGCAGCCCAGGAGGCCCTGCCCCTGCCCCGTGGCTGCCCTCCCGGCCCAGCTCTCAGATATGCAGAAGAGTCCTGTCCTGCCAGACCTTGTGCCCCACGGGCCCATCTCACCATCTGAACACCTCGGAGGGGCTGTCCTGCCACCCACACCATCCTCAGGACAGCCATAGAGCCCCGGCTCTGGCAGCTGCTTGGGCTGGGACTGACCCGGAGGAGCTGGGTCAGGACCCAGTGCTGAACAAACTTCTAGGTGCTGCTCTTCCGGCTCAGCCTCCCGGTGGGTCACGCTGAGTGCAGGTGCCTCTCCCCTCCTCCAGGGCTGCCCCATGGGACGAGGCAGAGTCTGGATGTCTGCAGCAACAAGAGACACAGACCATGGCCTGCTGGGGCTGGGGCTGGGCTGTCCCCTCTTCGCCACCTACACCTCCCGGCAGGACCCTGTTCTAGGGTGACAGTCCAGGAGGAGTGTGAGGGAGAGACTGGGCCCTGTGCACCTCGGCCTGTGCCTCAAACCCTCGCCGAAAGCTTCGCCCAACCTTGCTCTTCAAGGAAATGATAGAAGAGCACAGATGCAGGTCCACAGGCCGGGGCCCAGTAGCTCTGTGAGACCCAGTAGCATACACTGGAGCCTGAGGTCCTGGGCGTGTCCGGCAGGGCCTGCCCATGTGGAGCAACCCGCATCGCTTCAGGGGCATTGAGACCCCGGATGACGCAGAGTTCTGGGAGAAGGGCACTTCCTCTCATATTCAGAGATTTCACAACTGGCTGTGGATGAAAGACAGAGGCACTAACTGCACACGCACGTTCTCCCCAGCATTGTTCACGAGAGCCCAGGGGAGGAAGCAACTCAGATATACATCAGAGGATAAAGAAAATGTGGCCCATGCGTACAATGGAATATTATCCAGCCTTGGGAAGGAAGGAAGTTCTGTCACCTGCTACGGCACAGTGCACCTGCAAACCTCACGTGGAGGGAAAGAAGGACCCAGCCTGAGACACTGGTTCACTTCTAGGCGGTCCCTGGAGGAGTTGGGTTCGGAGGTGAGAAGCGCTAGGGGAGGGGAGGGGGTAGCAGTTAACGGGGGATGTGTTTGTTTCGCAAGATGACAGTTCTATGGGCAGCTGCACAGTGTAAATGTGTTGAGAGGATCGGGGGCAACCCCTGTCCCTGGAGTCTGTAGGAGGGGACTCCTTGGGGGCTCCCCAACCTCAGGACTACGTGGGTGGAGGCATCTGGAGCCTCCCCAGGCCAGTCTCCTGTCCTAACCAACGCTTGCTGCAAGATTCTTTTTGATCAAGACCTGAGACCATGGGGAAAACGGTGCTTATATGAAACACGACCCCTGTCCTGTTAGAGCGCCCCGGCTGTCTGGTGCTGGGGTGCCACCGGGCTCTGGGAAGCTGTGTACACAGCCAACAGTTGTTACCTAGTCAGGCAAATGCTGTCTCGGAGGACCAGCCACACCAACAGGGGCCATGGCAGGACATCAGTGTCCTTGACCTAGGGATTCTCCTTTGACCCAGTTCTGACTCCCCAGGGCCTTCATCATGAATGGGATACGTAATTTAACACATTTATTCTTAAAACGAAAAGTGTTAGCCAGGCATGGTGTCTCAATCTATAATCCCAGCATTCTGGGAGACTGAGGCAGGAGGATCGAAAGTTTCAGTCCAGCCGGGACAACTTAGTGAAAACTTATCATGAAATAAAATATTAAAAAAAGTGCTGAGGATGAAGTGCAAATCTCCAGATTTTTTCCAAGTGTTAAAAAATAGTAATCTTCTTTTAAAATAGTTTAATAGTTATTTAAATAAAGCTTTGGTGTGACTCTCCATATTTTTAGTTTCTTTTCTCTGTATATACATATACATATACATATACCATTTGGGGAACCTCCTAATTCATGAAATCACCAACTCCTCCTCATGGTATAAAAAGGGAGGTGGCAGGATAAGGCCAGAGAGAAGTATTCACCTTGCTCTGGGGTGCACGACGTTCCCTGACATCTGGGTGTCTGGGCAGGGCCTGAGGCGGGGCCGGGGTCTACAGAGCCAGGACACCTCTCAGGGGCTTTGAGGGGCCTCTCCAGAGGTGGTCACGGGCATCTAGCCCGCCCGCCCTCCCGTGGCAGCAGCCTGGCTGCGGGGGAGCAGGACCCGGCCTTGCCCGGCACTGTGGCTCTGAGGATGGGGAGCCCCCAGCACTGGGCAAGGTCTGCAGACCTTTGTCATTGTCACGAGGGGTGGGAGGCAGGCAGGTGCTGCTGGCATGGAAGCTGGGTCACTGGCCTCCACTGTGGAGTACGTCCATTGGAGACATGAGGCCGAGTGTCAGGGACGGACAGGCTCAGCCTGCGCTGTGGCCCTTGCACAGACAGGCACGCGTCCCCACAGGCAGGCTGCAGCCCCACCAACTGTGACGAGGCAGGGTCGTCCCCACCGCTGGGACTGAGAAGCAGTGAACCCAGTCCCGCCTCGGCCTTCATGATGCGCATCCGCCCAGCCCCTTCCTCCAGCTGTTTGGGTCCCTTAGGAGCCAACCGACTGGCTGGTCTCTGTCCTCTGCTTACACTTTGAGGTCGAGATCAGCTGAGTCTTAAATGGAGCATGCTGTCCCTGGGGCTGCGGGTATCAGGACCCTTGGGGTCGGGCGGGTCGGAAGCTAGAGGTCCTCAAGGGCAGAGCTCAGGTCCACCCTCTGGGCCTGTCGGAACACCAGGAAGGCGCCCAGCCCCAGACTGCTGCTGATGGCCACCAGGATGAACACAGGCCCAGGAGCCCATGGTGTCAATCAGGTAGCTGTCCAGACACACACCCACCACACCTGGACTAAGGGAGGCACAGCCAGGTGAGTGCTGTGGGCAGGGCAGGAGCGGAGCTGGGCTGAATGGGCCCCAGCACCCTGTGCACTCAGGGGGAATTCGGGCCTCTGAATTCTGGGCCAAGGGAGGGCCAAGTTCAGACTTGCAGGGTTCAGAAGAAAGAAGCTTCGTAGGCCACGAAAATCACCCCCAGAGGGGTCCCTCCGCCCAGTGTCCCTCAAAAGGGAAGTGGAACAGCAGGTAGGTGACAGGAGGGGCTGAGTGAGAATGAGCCCTGGGACTCAGAGGAGGCAGAGAGCCAGAGGGGCCCTAACCTACTGGATCTGACTACCTTCTGGGGCTCCCTGCTGGCCAGCAGCCAGGTAGACACCTCAGAGGGCAGCTATGTGGTCTCTGGGGCCAGCTCCAGGCTTGCGCCTTCTCTGATGCCAGGACCCCTCCAAGTTTGCCACGCCTCACCCACAGGGCTGGAGGATCTGGGGGAGGAAGGCCCCACCCAGCCCCTTGCCAGTTCCCCTATGGGATCCAACCCAAAGAGCAGGGGACTCCTGGGCACGGAGGCCCCTCACCTGCCAAGGGCCCTGCAGTGTTGGCTACACCTGTGAACAGGCCATCAAGAATGCCCACTGCGGTGTGAGCAGCATCCTCACCAAACAGAAAGCCAGCACAGGACGGGGCCAGGTCCCGGATGTTAACGCAGAACCTGCTATGAGAAACAGGAGAGAAGGTGGCTGAGTGGCCACAGGGCCTGGTGAAAGAGCTGGCAGAGCGAGGAAGAGGGTGTCAGTTATGGGGAGACAGTCCTGTGTGCACCCCAGCTCTCCCAGCTCACGCTGAAGCAGCACTGGAAGCTGCTCCTGAGACTAGAGACAGGAAAAGCACAGGAAAGCAGGTTTACAGGCGCAAACCTGCAGACCCATTTCCTGCTGGCTGATCTGAAGGACACTGTACTGCTGACTCCTAAAGCGACTCCCTGAGATGTCTGGATGTGGCTGCATCCAGAGCCAGACCCATCGAGAGGCCAGCGTCCTCTCACTTCGTCCACCTGAACCCTCCAGTGGGGAGCCTGAGCCTGAGGAGGAAGGGCCTGTGCCCGCTCCCCGAGCTGGCTCTGAGGGCAGGACCCTCTACTCTAAAGGCACGGGTGGCCCTGTGGGTGGGCACCTTTCTCCAGGACTCACCCCGACCGACGAGATGGTCAGAGAGAAACCCGCTGCAGAGACTGGCGGGAATCGCAGCCAACCAGGGCACCACGTTGAAGACCCTGCCCTACAAGGAGGAACTCGGCTCACAGGTGGCCACAGAGCGGAGGACGCACAGGCAGGACAGCCACCCCAGGTCCACAACTGCCCAGGGAGCTCTGCCTGCTCACTGGCTCGCCCTGGGGGGAGAGGGGCCTGGGGAGGGTGGCTCTGCCAACCCATGCCCACCTGGACCACCGCTAGCCCTGGTTGAGTGCCAGGTCCACCAGGGCTGTTGTCACCTAATTCCCCATTCTGCTCCCCACACCAGTACTGGGCAGGGCCAGAGCTGGCAGCCTCTGCCCTAGGAATGTGCAGCCCACAAGATTCTGGTCACCAAAACCGGGAGGGTAGCTCACCGCCTGGGTGGAGCAGCTGGGCCAAGGGCCAGGCTCTGCTGGGCAGCAGGTCAAGATCTTGGGCACAGAAAGCTACAGCCTCACAAGGAGAACAGCGTAGGGCCTCAGAGCCAGCACTTGCTGCTTGGGACCACAGGGGTCAAAACTACCACAGAGCCAAGGGCCCCTGGAGCTGCACGCGGGGACCATGGGGTCTTCCCACAGTCCAGGCCTGGGCAGCTTTGCAGCCCTCCCGATGCTGATGCTGCATGGGGCCTGGGCGGGCGACCCACCTTGGAGTGGGGGAAGGTCTCCTTGAAGAAGATGGGCAGCCAGAATAGCAGGATGAAGAAGGCACATGCTGAAGACGGCTGGGAGCAGACGGCTGCCCTGCATGGGGCACAAGGCTCAGGGTCCTACCTGCCCCAGGACCCTCCTTGTGCGAGCTACCCACCCCTTGGCCTGTTGGGCACCAAAGTCCCATGCCCCTGAGGCTCCACGCTGTGCTTGTCCATTCCAGCCCCAGCTCACCAGACAGAAGGCTTCCAGAAGAGCTGTCTCCAAGGCACTTTGGGGGCCTGGCCTGGGGTAGGCCTTGCACCAGGACGCCCAGGGGCAGGACAAGGTCTGAAGGAACAAGTGGGCTCAGAGCAACAGCTCTCAGGATGAGGTGACCCTGTGCCTATTCCTGACACCAGTCGCTGGGGAGGGGAGCACTCCAGAGGGTGGGCACCTCCCTGCCCCTTGCTAACCTGTCCCCAGTAGTCAGCATTGCCCTTGGGATGAGCCCTTCCTGGCCAGCCCAGCTCTCAGCTGCTCCTGCCACCCACCTTTGCCTTGGCCCACAGGTCTCCCACATCTGTCTTAGTCCCTAGCACGGGAATTGGTGGATTGAATCAGACGGTCGGATAGGCTGAGAGCCAGCACTCACATGGTTTCTCTTGGGCTGCAAGCTCGAGGAGTCTTTGGAACTGGCCAGAGCCACAGCCCCAGGGCCCTGCGACTCCTCTGGCTTAATGGCTGCTTTGAGGGGTGGAGGCCCCAGGACCCACCTTCGTGGCCACAGTTACTGTGTTCACTCAGCAGGTACCTGTACACGTAACACAGCCAGAGCAAGGCAAGGCCACCCGAGAAGTAAAGGACACCCTGCCAATTGCACCGGTCCAGGAGGAGGGAGCTCACAGCCCCGTCACCAGTGTCCTAGGGGGACAAGGAGGAGGTGGCCGTGACCCTCACCCACTCTCCACCAGCAAGGAGCCTCAAAGGAGGAAGGCATCTTCATCACCTTGGAAGCAGCTGACTGGAAGTTCCCATCCCCGCTTGTTTTCCTAAGGATTCCCAGTGTTCAGGAGAGATTTTCTACCATGGGGCTGGGGATCCCGGGTTCGGGGTGGGAATCAGCTTTGGGGATGGGGGCAGGGACAGCTGCTATGGGACCCAAGTTGTTTTTAATTTCTTGTTTCTAGGCCTTCAGATTGGCCCACAAATTGTCATGTGGATCTTTTGAACAAAAAAATGCAATGAGAAGAGAAAGTGACTTAAAACACTGAAGTGAAACCTATATACTTTGATTTTCTTGTTTCCTGTATTACAGAGGACAGAATTTCAGAAAGATCTCTAGGTGCAAAACCCTGCCACCACCAACCCAATAGCCCCAACCTCCCCATGTCCTGAGGGTCCTATCGTCCCCTCCCAGCGTACCCCAACTGCTGAGACCCCACTTGGACCGCAGGCCCAGGGGAGAGTGACTGCCATGGCAGACAGAGTACAGGGCTCGGGCGTCAAGGCTGCCTTCCTGTTCCCGGGGCCTCCCCACCGGGGCAGCACAGCACCCAGGACAGGGCGCTCAGGCTCCATCTTGGGGCCAGGGCTCCCCCTGCCCCTCCGTACTCCACATGGAAGCTTCTCTGCTCCATGCTCCACGGCCCGAGGATCCACAGGACACCAGGTAGGATCCCAGTGCAGGTGAGCCAGGAGCTCGGCCCCTCCCCTGTGTTCCTCTGACAGACCCACTTCGCAGGCTGTGCACACCCCATTGCTATTGGAGTCGCCCTACTCCGCCTGAGGGCTGCTCCAGCCCACTCTCAGTGCCACTCTGCCCCTCTGATTCCTGCCCTGGCTGAACTAAACTGAAGGCCTGAGCCTGGTGTCAGAGAGCACTGGTCACCCTCCCATGAGTCCAGCAGGCAGCCTTCCTACCCGGCACGCCCTCAGACAGGGGCACCACAGTCTGAGGGCCGCCAGGCCCCCAAGGGTGGGTTCAAGAAAGGCAAGTCTGAGGACACCGGGGCTCAGGGGCTGCAGATCCTCGGGGAGGGATGAGCAGCAGAGGCTGGCATGGGCTCTGGTTCCATGGACGCATGAAAGGAGCTATACAAAGTGGCTGCGGCCCAGCCTGTATCACCCGCCAGCCACAGTGAGAGGCAGAAATCTGCATGAAAGAAATACTCTGCACAGGCCCTGGAGAGGCAACCAAGACTGAAGGACCAAACCCCCGCTCCTGCTAGCCCTGCAGGCTGCTCCTCAGGGCCACACCCCAGGGGCCTCCTCTGCCCCCGAGGCTGGGCCTTACCCAAACTGAGAGTCAGCCCCACAGTGCTGCAGGCAAAGGCCCGCTGGCCCTCCCGTCAGGGCAGGGGAGCACACGCCTGGAGCAAGCAGAGCACCGCAGTCACCTGAATGCCCACGAGGGTGGGTAAGCCCCGAAGAGAGCCTGTCCTGGCCACCCGTGCAGGTTAGGGCTAGGAGCCAGCAGTGCCCATGGCCCCTCACCGCCTCAGCAGCCCTAGGACCCATCAGGCTGGGCTTTGGATGACACCTGGCTGAGGAACAAATGTCTGCGCAAAAGCCATGTGAGGTGCCACGGCAAGAACCGTGCGAGAAAGACTTCCGCCCCCAGGCTGGCATCCTCCCCCACCAGCTCCCAGGCTGCACGCACTGGGCCCTGCACACTCACACCAGCCTCTGGGCTGGGCCCTGCACACTCACTACCTCACACCTGCGTGCTCATACACCGACACACGCCTCTCCCAGGAGAGGAGTCAGGACTTGTAGCTCTACAGATCCATTCCCTCCTAGATTTCTTTTGGACAATGGGTTCCTCAGAAGCCTGAAAGTTTGGAGATGACCTCGTGTCCCCCTCCTTCTAGAGGGTTCTTGGATCCCAGCCTAGAGAGGCTCTGGGGGGATCCCTTTGGGCATGAGGAGAGGAACTTATGAAACACACAGCCCGTGTCCACAGGGCACCGAGCCTACACTTTTGTCCATGAAGGTAACCTGGGAACTGAATGGCTGATCCCTCCCAGAGCTTTCTATCAGTCTCTTCTGACTGCTCAGAAGGCAGGAGGTGCCGTTCTTCAAGGGCCACTGCCAGCCACCTGCCCCTGGGGGGCTGCAATCTCTCCAGAGGGCAAATGCTCACAATGCAGAAAAGCCACAGGATCAGGAAGCCCCGGGACGCACCTGCGCTGTGGATAACATATGCAGACATGCCAGGGCACCCCACATCGCTTGGCCTCCCCAGGGCAGACTTTTGGGCAGAGGGTAGCATCCAGACACACATGTGCACGTCCTGCCCTTTCCACCTGGTCTGGTGCCAGAGTTGAAGCCGGAAACATGAGGGAAGTGATCAGGCGGCCCTTACCTACCAGACGGGTGCTGCTGAGGGAGGGAGCATCAGGTGGCGACAGTGATGCAGCCCCAGGTGGCAGCTGACAGCAGGATGATCTTCCCACCCCCGATGCCGGAGGAGACTCAGGACAGGAGAGGGGCTTGCGGCGGCCGAGGGGCAGCACCCTCTCACAGAGCAGCCTTTGGGTGGACGCTGTCACACTCCACCCTGCAGAGGAGGAGCCCAGGGCTGAGCAACAGGCTGAGCCTGGTGCACCCAGAGTGGCTACTCAGACGCTGGGCGCCTCGCTGACTGAGCCCTTCCTCCTGGCCACCCTCCCCCAGAGGTGCCCCTGGAGCCAGGGCGATGGGACGTGGGGAGGCACTTACCAGGCCCCAAGGTGGCCTCCTACCACCTGCACCAGGCAGTGGCCCCAGAAGCTGCTGAGCACGAAGCCAGCAGCCAAAATCTTGACTCATGGTGACGGTGCAGACGGGCATGGAACTCGCATGCAGTACAGCAGGCAGGTGGCCAGCAGCAGTGTCCCCGTCCACGCCTGGCACTGAGGCCTGTGGAAGAGGAGGGGGTCAGGCCCTGGAGGGGCCCCGTGGGCAGCCCTGGTTGCTGAGAGACCTCCACAGGCGCCTGGGACATGGTCACACAGGGGCAAAGGCTAGGAACTGGGTCCACCTCTTTGATGAACATCTTGTGACTCCCAGGAGAGCACAGACAGGTACTAGACAGGACACAGAAAAGACAGGAAACAGCCAGAACAGCCTATAGTAGGGGCAGGTTAAATGAACAACGGGGTGTGCACGGGCTGCCATAGCCAGAGCAGGTGCTGTGCCAGGACTGCAGCTGCGCCCACACTGAGGACAGACTCCTGCAGTGCCCCATTCCCAAGCTTCCTGTGGGCCACAGTGACACAGAAAGGCAGTCAGGTAGAACTGACAGCTCACAACCCACTGAGAGGTGGCAGTGGACTTGAGGTGGCCGGGATCAGGTGTAGCAGGAGGGCCCAGGAGTGGAAGAGTGAGCCCCAGGGACCCACAGGGAAGCTGCCAGGCCTGTGCAGCAGAGGTCCTGGGGTAGACGGGGTGGGGGCCACGTTAGGACACAGCAGTGCTGTCGAGGTCGGGACCTCAGAAGGACTTAGCCAGGGACAGTCCCCAGGTGCAGCTCATTGTGCTGCTCTGTGACTGCTGAAAGACCAAGGGAAGGAAGTGAATCAACAAAGTGAACAACACGAAGGGGCCCAGGTCCCTAGGACCCTCCTGCTCCATGGGAGCCTAGTTGCCTCCAGTGAGGTCTCATCCAAGGCAGACCATAACCCCAGCATTCCTGGAGTGACTTGTAACAGGTCTCTCTGCCTCCCCTGCTTGGGGTGTCTTGGGTTGGCTGGGGACAGGGGGTGCGGTTGATGTGCCCAGGAAAGGGAGGGGATGGGCCCAGGCAGGTGGCTGGCATGGCAGTCTCCTGGACCCCGGCTGCAGGGCTCTGCAGCCTGTACATGTGCTGCTCACCAGCCACACCGCAGAGGAGAAGCATGGGTTCAGGATGGCAGCCCCGTGTCCTAGCACACACTTATCTGTGAGACGAGGAAGGGCTAAGGAAGGACACGTGGGCAGCTGGCTCCTTCCTGCTTCTGAGCGGCTACTTCCTTTGGGAGAAGTCCTGCAATCCTCTGGGGTGTGGCACTAGGTGAACCCGAGGTGAAGCAGGGGCCCTCAGGGACCCTCTGCCTGCAGCCATTGTGGGCTCCCCCTGAGTCTCTGGCCTTGAGTTCATGGGCTGTTCTCACCCTCCAGTTCCTGGCTCAGCACAAAACTGGGAAATAACTAGTTTACGGGCCAACAAGCGACAACTCTGCCAGGGCTGCAGGATCCGCAGGACAGAGGCTCCAGAGAGAGCCTCTCTGTAGCTCCGGCTGCTCAGAGTTCAGGACCCTGGGTCCAGGCCCAGCAACCCCAGCCCCAGCCCCACCTTCCCTTCCTTCTGTTCTTCAGTCCTCCCCAGCCCTGCCGAGGGGTTTGGCCACAGACACTTGGGAGCTGAGCAGACCCAGACTCCGCCAGCCTGAAATGATCAGTAGAAACCAAAGAAAACTGAAAACTTGCCCACTCCACTGGCCCCAGGACCTTTGTCTGGATATGAAGCAGATGGTGGGGTGGGTGCATCTGGGTAGGAGGCGCTCCAGGCGCAGTGAGGGCAGAAAGGTCCACTGGGCAGAGTGCGGGACGGGGCCTCCCGAGTGCTGGTCTCCACCTGACACCTTGCAAGGTGACACCACCATTCTAACGCTCCTGCGGTGAGCAGGAAAACTCTACGAGGAGGGCTTTCTTTTCCCTCGCTTGCTTCTTCAGAGTTAATGAGTCTTACATTAATATTGACCCTGCCAATCCAGCAGGGACCTTAATAAGAGACCCTGGGGGGAAACCCCAGTGGGCCCTCTGGACTTCATCTGCTTCGCTAGCTCTTAGTCACTTGCTTTAGGTGACTTTAGAAATAACCAACTTTGGAAGTAGCAATGATGTGGATGCGAGGGGCAGGATGCAACTGCTGATGGATGTGACCATGCAAGCATAGACCACCTGTTACTTCCTAACTTCCAAATGCCTTTGCCTGCACCTCAGCCCCTGAATTTCCCCAAGCACTGTCCTGGGGAGGTGGACAAAGTCTTGCTCTTCTATCCCATGCTTCGCTGCAGAGTGAACAAACTCTTTATCTTGCACAACTCACTATTTTAGTAATTGGCATGCTGCAAGGTGAGAAAATGGGCCAGGGTTGGCAACAGCAGGTCATGATGAGATTCCTAGGCCACCACAGCCCCAGGCCAAAGGTGAGGAAACGGAGACATCAGTAGGGGCAGGCAGTCCACAGAGACCTGGCCATCTCCCTGGGCACTGCCATCAGCAACAGGACATCCGGGAAGCCGCCATGGCCCACAGCAGCCCCAGAGCTGTGACCACTAAACGCCAGGTAGGGGCCTGGACAGGGACACTGGGGAGAAGGAAGCCGAGGGACAGCGACTTGGGTTGACAATGACGCATCAATGTCGGTTCATGATGGTGGCAAGTTCTACTCATTTAAGATGTTAACAGGGAACACAGCAGGTGGAGTGTTCAGAAACTGTGTACTATCTTCACAGTGATTCTGAAACACACAGTTCAGGTGTTTATATTTAAAAAAAAAAAAAAAGGAGAGAGATTCAGCACAGTCCATGTGGTGAGTGATGCGACAAGTAGGGACATCTGGGGAGGCAGGTATGAGTCAGTCCAGCTCTGAAGCAGGACAGCCCTGAAGGGGTGTAGATGGCAGACAGGACCATAGCTGCTGCCGAAGGGTTGGGGCACTGACCTCAGGACACACTCTCCAGCCCTGGGGGCAGGATGAGAGCTAGAAGGGAAGATGCTGAAGGGCCCAACTGGAGCTCCAGGCCACACTGAGCCACAGGGCCCTGGTATGAGTGCTGGAAGCCCAGATGGAGGGCAAACTCACAGGCTAGCCAGATGAAGGCCAAGGTGCCAGATGGACAGCCAATGGGGACAGCAAAGTCACTGAGAAAATGGCAACACTTGGCAAGAAAGGAGGCTTCAAGCCACAAGCCAGGAACTGAAGTCATCAGTGACAAGGGATGTCCAGCAGGGGAGGGCAGCATGGATTCTCAAAGAGAAGCTGTCAGGACAGAGCGGGGTCACTGGGATCAGACGGTGGATGAGTGGGACCCTGCAGAGTCCACCCCATGCTGCCCAGAAGGAGGTCCTTGGGCTTGCCCACCGCTGTGGTACTGAGGACCTGGCAGAGGAACGAGCGGATTGGATGGGTAGGCATATGGGCAGGTATCCGCCCTCCCCAGCCTTCTCCAGGTTCCAGGTATGGGGCTGGCATGGGAAGGATGGTCCATATTGAGGCCACCTCCACCCTAGGAGTGCTGGCACCTTCACTGGAACCTGTCCCAGGGGAGATCTCTGAGCTCTGACGGCACCCTAAGGTGGTGCCTGGACTGTCCAGACCTGATGAGTGGGCTGGTGATGGGTCCAAGGAGAGCTGAGTGCTTTGACACACACTTGGGGACCCCAGTTCTTCAGAGAGGCATGAGCTCTGAGTCTACCCCTCCAAGTCTCAGTGGGCTCCCTGCTTCAGGGCTGAGCATGGCTATGCCTCATAGTAAGTGGGCTCAGTTCACTGCCTCTCTAGACCCAGGTCCCCAAATACCAATCATCTCTATAGATTAGGTCAAGGAGCTGGGTGGGTAGTCAGCCAGGGAGCAGAGAGCCTCCAGACAGCAAGGACCCAGGTGGGCACAATCATTCTGAGGTCCACAGGGGAACATCAAAGCAGCTGGTTCAGGGAAGGCTCTAACTCTGTTAAGCTGGGCCTGCATGTATGGGTTAAAGACCAGCCTGGGGCTTTCTCAATCCACCAGAAGCTGGGTTTCTGATCCCCTCTCCAGTGTGAATGTGACACGGGACCCTGGACTGCTCCCTGGGAGTGGCCTGAACTGCCCAGTCTCAGGTACCCACGTCTCCTCTGGAGTCCATCTTTGAATCTGACAAAACCTTGCCCTGCAAGAGCCCCCTCGGTGCACCTGTTTCTTGTCTTCTATCCCTTGTTGGGAAATTGTCCTGAGCAAACACTGCCACTGGTTTACTGGGAAAACAGGGTGAGAGTCCAAACTGCCAGCGGCCCCCAGCCTGCCTAGCCCTGTCCCAAGCCCTGCCTGGCCTCCAAAGCTGTCCTGGGCCAGTTCTCTGTCAACATGTGCAAGAAGAGTCTGCTCTGACCTGACTTGGATGCACAGGATTACACCACAGGTATAGGAGTGACACTCATAAATTCCCACTGAGCCATAGTCTAAAGGTGCCTTTAAAAAGGAGCTTTAGCTGGGCGTGGTGGTGCATGCCTGCAATCTCAGCACTAGGGAGGCTGAGGCAGGAGGATCCCCAGGAGTTTAAGGCCAGCTTGGGCTACACAGTGAGTTTAAGGCCAGCCTGAACTACACAGCAAGGCCTTGTCTAAAAAAAAGGGCTTTATTCCTTTACGTGGTCAAACCAGCAAAGGGGTCACCTCCACCAGAAAGGGATCAGGGATCTGCCCAGGATCCACCACTCCCTAAATGCGTGTACAAAGGCCTGGCCCTGCTGCTCTCTGTGAGGGCGCCCAGTTAGGGTCCCACCTCCTTCAAAAGGCTGGTATAGGGCAGAGAGCATGGCGCTGCCTGGCCTCCTAAGTGGGCACAGAGCAACAGGAGAAGCCAACGGCTACCAGGCAACCAGTATGCCCTGACGAAGGCACTGGGCAGAAACACCTGCAGGAGCCATGGGTGAAGGCAAGGCCTGCTTCCTCCCTGGGCCCTGGAGGCAGGAGAGAAACAACCTCCACAGCTCTGAGGACACAGAGAAGGAAGTCTGGGTGGAGGGGGCAACAGACAGGGAAGGTGCCTGAGGGCGCCTTGGGCTCCAGGCCCAGAATGCCCCACCTTACTTGAGGCAGGAGCACCTGAAAAGATCCAGTGCGCACTTGCAGGACTCTGTGTGGTACTTCCTGTGAGCCTTCTACAGCCTCCGCTTCCTGCAGCCAGCCCTCAGAAGCATCCACAGCTGTGTACACAGGTGGTCATGTGGTCCTTGACTCAGAGAAGGGACACGTACGGGCACCAGGGGTCACTGACCAGCAAGCCTCTCCCAAATTCTGCCCCCAGCCCTCCTCGCCAGCCACTGTGATTCACAGAGACCTGCCTCCCAACCACACAGGTCTGTTGGAGGAGGCCCCACTGGCTGAAAGAGCACCTCTGCTGTGATTATAACCCACGAATGGACTGTGGAGGGCGCAACCCCATAAGGCCCCAGAATTCCTGCAACCACCCTGCCAAGGCAAGGGGAGCAAGTGACATGGTGAATGCTGGAGCTGTCACATTGCAACCTGCAGTGAGGTTTGCAGAGGCCACACCTCAGGAGCCAGCCAGGCCAGGTGGAGGCACCTTGGTAAACATGGGGTGGGCCTGGAGGCTCCCTGATCCGGGCACACCCAAGGCCCGGCCTCGAGGTTCTCCACATTGGTGCGGCTCTGCCTCTCCCCCAAGGCCCTGTCCTGGCACAGCTTCTTTGAGCTTCTGCTGTGCCCTCATCTGGCCAAGCATCCAACGGAGGCCCCACTCCTTGGCCCACCCCAGCCCTTCTCCCAGTACCCCAAGGTAGGCTCTCTGGGGACTCAGCTGGCTTGGGCCTTCAGACCCTGCCTCTGGTCCAGCACCCTGGCAGAGGGGCCTGGCTTCCAGAATAAGAGTGGGGTGCAGACTCCCCCCTGGACCCTCCCACCAGCTCATTCCTGCTTTGTGGACGTCACCTGCCTATGGAGCAGTAGGGATGCTGGAAACAGAATACAAGCGGGGTGGGTGACCCGCTGGCCTCATCCTCATTAGGGAGACAGCAGGGCACTTGTCCCAGCCTGACTCTCCCAGGGTCTATCTGAGGGTGAGCCTGAGTTGGTGCCCCCTGCCAGGCCTCGGAGATGCTTCCCTGCCTGAGACTCCCAGCACCCACCAGCTGGGAGTAGGGTTCAGGGGCCACTTTCTGGGCTTTGGGACTTGGTGGTGGGAGGGGTCCCTCCTTCCAGGGGTGGACACTGCCATGCAGGATTGTGCCAGCCTCAGGGAGAGAAAGGTGGCCCACTGCAGAGTGGGCAGGGCGGCAGCCTCCAGGTCCCTGCTGTCAACTGGGCTGCCCACCAGGTGGCAGTGCCTCAGCTCCCTCCCCAAACACCCCCCCACCACCACCACAGGGCATCCTCGACTGCGCTTCGACCCTGCAGGCCTGGTCTGTGGCCGGCTGCTGCGTCAGGCTGTGGTGCTGGGACAGTGTGGGCGCAGCCTTCTCAATGCCCTGGCCTCCCGCTTCCCACCTCCCCCCACCCACCAGCGCCGCCCAAGTCCATGTGTCAGTCCCTGCAGCACTTCCCTCTGGCCTGTCTGTTGCTCCCAGGATGAGTTCCCCCACCTTGGGTCCTGCCCTACCCCTCTGACATCCGGGAAGACCACAGGGAGCCCTCTTGCTGTCCCACAGGAAGGATGCCTGAGCCGAGGCAGCCCCTGAGGTTTAGCATGGGGATTTCTTGGCTTTGGAGAAGGACCCTGGGAGGATCCAGTCCCTCGACACCACAGCAGCGGACCTTGGGTAGGACAGGGATTTGTGTTCCTTCCACAGCTCAGCCCCGCAGGGCTTTGACATTATCTGTCTCCAGGTCTGCACTGCCCAGCTCCACATACCTGCTAAATACTGTTAAAAAATACTGGGGCCTGAAGCTGCTGTGTAGCTCAGTGGTAGAGCAAGTCCTTAGCATGTACAAGGCCCTAGGTTTAGTCCCTAGGACTGAAAAAAAAATTAGGACCTAAAAGCAGGGTTACTATCCAAACCATATCAGATGCTCATGGGATACAAAAGTGTTGGCAGAAAGAGGCATACTCCTATAGCTGTAGCCCAGGCATAGGAAAGCTTGGGAATTGTCCCGAAATTTATGGCCAATAATACTGTCATCCATTCCATGAAGATCTTTGATAAAGATCAAGTATCACACTGGCGTGGACATTTGACATTTCTCGAAGCTGATGGTCTGGGATGGGCAAAGAAAGGGAGAGAACGCTATTCAAATAGGCTGGGCTGGGAAGGACATGCAAGGTACTTGAGGTCTGCATGAAAGAGCGAGCCACGGGTGGTGGACAAAGGCCTGGACAGTGGGAGTGGGTGCCCACCGGGCTGCTGCTGAAGGGGAAGGAGGCAGGTGGGTCATGGCAGCCCACCTCGGGGGTCTGCGTCAGAAGTCCCCAGTGTCACAGGATCACCCAGGGCTGCTTCGCACAGCTCAAGGTTAGCCAGGGCAGTGGCAGGCCCCAGGGCCACAGGCACTCACAGGACCAGGTTGCAGATGGTCGCTGAGGTGGGTCTGGGGGAGAACGGCACGCCGCCCTGGCCCTGCCCTCGCTACCCCAGAGGTGTAGGTGCAGCCAGAGCTGCCGAAGGACCGTGCCTTGCAGGCAGGTGAGCATTGGCAGTGGCCAGGGTGGACACGTCCCAGGCTTCTAGTTGATTCTGAGCTGCCTTTTACCTTCATTCAACTTGCAGTTCAAGGTGGAAAATCATATACAGGTAACATACAGGTATGCGATAGCATACAGGTAACACCTGGGTTTCTGGGACGCAGGGTGACCTGTGTGACAGAGCTGTCACACCTGCTGTCCAGGGATGCTGAGGGCCTGTGTTCTGACTTCCAGTGTGGCCCCACCTGTCACACTGGCCTGCTTCCGCACTGCCAGTGCTACTGCAGGGAGACATGCTGTGCTTTCCCCTAAGGTAACTCACAGCTCGCTGTGTCATCACCTTCTCGTCAGCTTCCAGCACCATCCTGCAGAGGACACAGAGGAAAGTACGGGTCCAGATGACACATTTTACGGCCACATCAGGCTGGGGTGTCCTCCTTAGACTCCACCTAATCCCTACCCCTTCCCAGCCCAACATGTTCAAATCTCAAGAAGAGAAGTCCAAGTAGGACTGAAATACTAGCATTTCTCTCCACTGTCACTGACAGGCAACTGTAAGAAGTAAGATCTCCATGCTGGGCACAATTTGCATGAAGTGACTACGGGAGCGGGGGTCCACCTTGTGGGTTGAACACTGTAATGGCAGAGAGAAAAGTGGGACAGTGAAGTACGAGGCTCCACTGGAAACCAGGATAGGCTTCCTAACAACGACAATTGCAGTGCAGGGTCTGCTGGTGGAATAATCCTGGAAGCTCTGGACAGCTCCTTCTTTTCAAGGTGCTGGTGACTTCAGTATGAATCTTATAAACACCACTAATCCAGATTTCTAACTGGAGTCCTCAGACACTGGCTGGTCACACGAGTCTGGCCCAGCAGAGAACGTGGGTGTGTGCATACAGCCCTCACCAGTCTGGCCACCACCAGCTCCCCCACTCCTCCAGGACCCTCCACACAGAGTCCTCACTGACAGACCAGCGTGCTTCCCGTCCAAAAGCCAGCTGTGAAATGATCAGTGTCAGACACCGGATGTAGGAGGGAGGCGACCCTGTAGGAGGGCGAGGTCAGAGCCGAGAAGAGTCTGTTGGGCGCCACTCTGGCCCCTGGTATACACAGCTCAGCCTCTGGATACGGGCAGTGCAGTCACACCCAGCTCAGTGCACAACTGCACTCTGGCGGTTTTCCCTGGAGCTCCAAGCGTCAGACCTAAGTCTCCCACTGAAACTGCAGAGTGGCGGGCAGGCGAGACTGCAATGTGACCCGCATATGTACAATGTATCCCCCAGACTCCATTCACCTTCAGCAGTTACTTCTCTCATTCACAGCCAGATGCAAAAGAGTCAACAGCCTCAAAAGATGGTTTTTTCGGGCCGGGGATTTAGCTCAGTGTTTCCACTGCCTGCCTCACAAGCACAAGGTCCCAAGTTCGATCCCCAGTATCAAAAAAAAAAAACGATGATTTTTTTCTTCTGTGTTATGGTCATACTGGACCCCAAACAGGAGACACCCACCAACAACAGACGAACCTGTTAAATATCGACACATGCCCCAGATCTGTGCTGACTGAGCACCCAGTGTCAGCGGGTGCGTGGCCCGGGGTTCACCACCCCAGAGCCATTCTGTGGTTTCCACAACAGCCACCAGCTCCGGACCTTCCACCCACAGAAGCACGGGCCCTCAAACGTCGCCACAGCGAGTCACATCAAGAGCCATTCAAATACTGTCTTCTGCTTTTACATAAATAATGTCAAAGGCAAGGATTATCCCATCCTGGAGACAGAGTATCCAAGACAGGGAGGTCACATGTCAAGGAACTGTGGTCCCCAAACCTCTGACTGCTGTGCACAAGGGCTCAGTCCCAGGGCCTGGTGACACCCACAGTGTGCTAAGGCACAATGGGATCACAACCACCCCTAAGACGTCAGTGTCACACAGGGACAGTGATGCTCCGTGCTTCAACACCGAACACTAAGCTTGGACACTGTGTTCTGGTTCCTACTGCTCGGCCCAGTGGCATCTTCCTCTGCTTCTCCATCAGGCGGCCCGGCCGGTCTGAGCCTCTCCTGCAAAGGCTGAAAAGCAAAGAACCACCAGGCCAGGGCACCTGCAGCTGCCTCAGCCCCGGCCTAGAAACTGCAGCTGTCAGCTGAGAAACGGGCAGCGGTGGAAATTTTCTAGTAAAAATATAAATAATATTGGAGTGGGAACAGATCAAAACCAAACCAGAGTTCCATGAAATGGAAGTTTCCTTCTACCTTTCCAATTATAATATACCAACTTGCAATAAAACATGTGTTACAGAGGGATTCCTATGTTCTTATCAATGTATCTTTCTGGAAGGAAAGAAAGAGCTCTGAGATGCGCATTCCAGAAAAAACGTGAAAAGTTCTACTATCAAGTTAAGAACAGGCAACAAAAGCAACTACTCTCCATTTCTCGGAAGATACTAGGTAAAGGGGGCACAAGCACCTCCTTGGAATTACAGAAGCAAATACGCCCAACAGTACTCTAGCCTGCTGTGACTTTACACACCTACTGCTGACAACTTCCTATACATCTGGAAAAAGTAATACACGTCTGAAACAAAGATGTACCCACTGCAGCAATAGCAAAAACAAAACCAAGGCATCAAAATAAAACCCGTCAACAAAGCAGCAATGAGCAATGGCTAGTGACAATAGGCTGCAGCCACAGCGTGGTGTCCTGCTGCTCGTAACCGAGCCTCAGACAGGCCACTGCTCACTCGACACTTCTAACTTGGCCTCTGTTCTTACTGCCTGCACAGCACCAACCTAGAAGGCAACCTTGCTCCACTACACTGAAGACATGTTGGTGTCTTTATCATAAAATATCCAGAACCCTCCTGACACCTTGCTTCCTTCACTCGCCAAAGCTAACAGGGCACCGAAAGAAGGACATAGACATCGACTCGCCTTAGGAAGGTGCCAGGCTGTCCCTCTGCCTCAGTGGACTCTGGCTTGCAGTTTCTGTGCACTCAGGGCCACCAGACCATCGCTCTGTGCTACAGACTCTGGCCTCACACATCAGCCCCAGCCACTGTCTGCCTCTTCTAGAACCCAGAAATAATTCAAGTGCAAAAAAAGTTCTCATTTATTCTGCTGTAATTCCCATGCTTCAGAAAGTTCCAAACTAGAGATTTTTCCTCATACAGCCTTGTGATACAGAAGAATACTAGAATATTCTTAAATTTCATGTATGTAAGGCACTTTCCAGCAAAAGGTGTAAGAAGAATAAAGCTACTTTATAAAATATAACTACAATCGCTTCTCAGCCTTTTGGCTAAGATCAAGTGTATAAAATATAACTACATTTCAACTGTATGATATTTCAACTGTAAGACACAAATGAGCCAAAGAAGAAAACCCAAACATTCACCATCCCACAGCAGCTTTACTTCATTTGCTTGCGCAGAAGCTGAAGACTGCAGCATGGGGTAAGTGGGGAAAGTCTGTAAAGTGCTCTTGGGGGGGCGGGGGCAGTCTCTGAGGTCAGGGGACAGACTGTGACACCTGAAATCCTCCATCTCAGATGCGCGGTACGGTGATCTTTGCTGCTCTGACTGAACTGATAAGTAAAATGCCACCACCACTTAATATTTCATGCGTGTGCCAGGCCCCATTCATGCCCCAGTAGTATCCAGATGACCCCACAGAGGACTTCCCATCCCTATCCACCTCACATGCCTCCTAACTACAAGAACATGTCAAAGTGGTTATGCATCCTCAACCCACAGGAACGATCTTACACACACATGAAGATGACAACATGCTGACGGCCTGGTGCTGTTCCACAAATGCGGAGGTTTCTTTGCTTTGCTTTTATAGTACTGTGGACTGAACCCAGAGCCTTCACACTGAGCTAGATTTCCAGCTTTTCTTTTTTTTAACTTTTTGAGACTCGGTCTCACTAAGTTTCCCATGCTAAGCTCAAACTCATGATCTTCCTGTCTCAGCCTTCCAAAGTGTTACTGCATTTCCTCTATAAAACTCCCTTTCCCTCTAACTTATTTTTACTCTCAAACCTAAGGGAAGAAATAATTCCAAAGGTCAGCCACACCTGAAGATGATGCCCGCTGATGCCCGCTGTGTGTAGCAGGTCAAGGCAGCTCTTCTGGACCCCTCAAACCACAGGGGCAGGTGAAGGGTCAGTCCGGAGGTGGAGTGGTTCGTAATGACTGCACCAGTTTCACTGTGTCTGTAACAGAAAGTAGCTAGGTCAAAGTAAAGACTTACCACTGAAGATGGCAGCAAAGAGCCAGGAAACCTCACCAGGCTCCAAGTAAGGGAAGAGACCCGCCCAACAGACACTGAACAGCAAGCAGTGTCCAAGGAAGCAGGGGCGTGAGCGAGACGGCACATCACCCGAGCAGCCCAGGCACCCGCCAGCTGATCGCACCCAGCCTCACTTTGCTGGTCAGAATGTCTCAGTCTACTCGAGCTCAGAACAAGCAGATTCCCAGCTCAGCCCTAACGACACTGCTCTCGGGCAGGCCCCAGAATACCCTTGCCAGCATCAGGACTCAGTAGGGGGACAACTGAATCATAGCCCCAAAATTGTGACCACCCAAAACGCCAGCTTTCAGCACTGCTCCAGCAAGGTTCTCCATGCACAGGCTGTTGCCAGGAATCCAAATACATTTGCACTCTGAACTCTGAACTCATCACCGAGGGCACTGACCTGTTTGTCACACTGCACCTTGCCAGGGCATTCCCTCCTGCCTTCCACCAAAGAGGAATAAAGAAGTGGGGCGTTTGAATGGGGCTGAGAGAAACCACCCCGCTAAGCTGAAGTGCAGGTCAGCAAGGGTGAAGGCCCAGTCCCTCTGAGACAGTGTCATCACCAGCACCAGGGCTACCTGTCACCAACGGCACTCCTGAACACATGGACTGGGCAAAGTGGCCTGTCCAGCGGCAGGGACATTGGTGTCACTGTGTGAGCACAGGGAGAGGAAGCCATGAACCAGAGGTTGCCAGAGATGATGGAGAGCTTTTTAGAGGCCATTTTGGTCATTCTTGAAATCAAAGAGAAACCTTTATTTCCAACAAATATGCCTACGAGATGGTTCACTGGTCTACTATAAACAAGTCTCTCTTCACATACAGCACCAAAGTATATATTTAAAAAATTAAAAACCACACAGCCCCACCCCTCACACACACATCTCCCCAAAAGCCACACAGCTCGGACCAAAAGGGAAAAACAAGTCAAACTCAAGACCCTCGCACAAAAGTCATCTTTGAGTTAGGATTTACAAATTTATATATTTTTTTCCTATGAAAAACAAAACAAAAAATAAATGAAAAACAAGGGGTAAGGAAACACTGAAAATAAAGGCTGGACAGGACTGAGGAGAATTAACAAACATCCTGCCTGCCTGCGAGCTAACAAAGCAAAAGAATGATCAGTGCTCTTCATGTGCTCTGAATGGGAGCCTTAAGTTAACCAATATTCCCTAATAATGCAGCACTCAATGACAAGGTAAACCTGCAGGGGTCAGAAACACCAGGAGCACTGGGACAGTAGCCAGCAACGTGTTGAAATCCTGAGGATGTACCACAGTGCACAGACCGCTCAGACTCCTAAAGTGTCTTTCCCGTGGGTTTGCCAGCATTTAAAAGGGACACATTCCCTTTAAAAAAAGATTCTGGGTCAAAAAGAAAAGTACAAAGGGGTGAAGGGTTCTCTACTGCAGGGAAAGTCTTTCTGTCACAGTCCGAGGGGAGGTGAGTCCTGTGCCATCACGGCAGTGCCAGGGTCTGCCTGCACCAGCTCTACTTGGGCTCCTCAATCACACCCTTGCTGAGGTCTGTCATTTTGGGATATTTTACTTTCTTCTGGTCCAGCTCGTTCTGAGCCCAAAGTAGTAGTTTCAGTAATTTTGCCAGCTTGGGTGTTGACTCACGATTCTCATAATCTAGAACAGCTTGGTTAACTTCACTCCACACCTGGAAAATAAATACATCCCATAAAGACAGCCACACACATAGAGAACAGCAGTCTATTACTAATATACATTTTATGCTCTTGGAAACCAGTTAGCACAAGAAGCTTATTATTCACTTGAACATTAAGCTCCTGACTGTGAGCCACGTTAGGGGTACCAAACGCAACCCTCAGGGGGCACAGTTTCTAGAGTCTGATCAGCAAATGTCAATGCAGCCTCAAGGTGGGTTAGATGCCGGGAGCCTCGAGAACACAGTGCAGAGGGGTCTGCAGAGCGCCAAGGGCAGCGCGGCGGGCAGTGCAGGTTCCCTCCTGCCAAGCTTCTAGGAAACACCCGAGGGGCCTTCAAGGGCAGGCAGATCTTCCAAAGCAGAGCCTCCGAGAGGAGGGGGCTGGCATGTGGGAGAGGGGACCTGTGTCTGGGCAAGCAACAGATGTCACACTCGGCTGGACACAGGAGCAGCAGCGAGAAGAGAAAGTTTCAGAAGCAAACATGAAAGACACTTAAGACACCTGTTTCCTAAGGGTTTCCAAACAGGAAGAATGTTAAGATAATTAAAACAAATTTGCAAAGGGTTTGGGTACTAGTGGTCTCAACTCTGCTGCTCCTAGTGTGACAAAAAAAAAAAAAGAGTAAAATTTAGGAAGGCGCCGCCGCTGTCAAACTGTAAAGCCACAAGCCCAGAAGCCATGTCTCACCCCAAGCCACAAATGTAGCAAACCTGGCATCCTCTTGGAAATCCCACTCTGAACGCTTATGAAGGGTGAAAAAAAACCTATTCCTTTTTTTGAGCTCTACCTTTTGCCTCTGCATCATGTGGAGAAGGTCTCCGAAGGGTGACTCCTCGGGGCTGTCAAAAGCCAGCAAGGCCAGTGTGCGCTCCATCTCCGTGAGGCACTCTCTGCTTTCCTCGCCCTGCTCTGCCAGCTGTGTCTGGGCAAACTCCAGTGCCGCCTCAGTCTCACGCTGGCGGATCAGCTCAATCAAATGCTGTTGCTGGCAATGGCAAAGACAGAGAAGCTTAGGCGGCACACACCAGGTGAGTGGCACTGCGCATGGTCAGCAATACCAAACACTTGGTTCCAGTCACCAGTGCACTGCATGGGACTGGAGATCTCAGCTCAGTGATGGAGCACTTGCCTGCCTAGCATGCACAAGGCCCTGGGCTCTATCCCTGGCACTGCAAAAAAAAAAAAAAAAAGTATAACCCAAAGAAGAAACTTTTCTATCTCCAAGTTCCAAGTTATTATACTTGCATTTAAACAACAGCTTCTAAAATACATAAAACAGCAGAGAACTCAAATCCTGTCGACATACAAACTAAAACAAGTCTATTAATGCAAATTAGCCTGCTTATTTCTGAATCATTGCAAACCGTCTTTGTGAGGTATCCACACCAGACTACTCTGCTGAGACTCACCTGCAGATGAAAGTAAAGATACCGGTTTGTGTCCAGGAGCTCTGGATGGAGGCTGTTGATCAAGGCAATGGCCTCTTGAATCTGACCCTTCAGAATCATCTCCCGAATCTTGATCCGTTCATCAAGTGTTTCTAGATCCACACTTGGTTCAATTCCAGATTCCATTCGAAATTTTTCGGCTGCTTCCTTAAAGCCCTCTAAAAATGAAAACCATCTTCACTGCTAGGAAAGGTAGCAGAGAATTACTGCAGCTTTTGTATCTCTAGAAAGCAAAACTGCCTTCAGAAATACTCTGATATCAACCTCTTTCTTAGAAACTTGCATTACTGTCTGTGATTTACAAACAAGGTAAGCCCTTAAAGCGCAGGAACAGGAAGACTGTACTTTATTCCTTTCTGCTCCATCCAAATGGCCCTAAACTACCAGCCAGAGGTTAGAAGGACTGCTAAGGCAGTGTCAGTGTGAGTGTCTTGAAGAAGACCGGGATTACAGGCCTGGATGCCAGAGCTGAGGTCTGGCTCCAGATGAAGCAGACAAGCTAGATGTGCCTTCACAGGGCTGCTGCGCCTCCCTGGGCTTCAACTGCAGTGACCCAGTGACTCCTGAGCTCAGCATAAGCCTGTGATTCTCTCCAACATCAAAGCAAGCATATATGCCCCTCCTCCTGCCACAACTACTGGCCTAGCCTTCCTCATCACCTTTCTAAAAAATTTTAACACATTAATTTGGGATGGGGGACTATGCATTAACAGGAGACTTTTCATTTTGTGCCCTTGAAAATACCTACATTTTCTCACCAGAGACAACAAGGACCTTCCTCTCAATAGAAGAAGGGAGACAGCTGCTTCCTTCCACACATTCCTGCCTTTCCCCTTCCCTCTTTTGGGGTGGGCTCACCTGGAAATAGGCCAGTACACTTCACCAGTCTGGCCAGAAGACAGAAATTATTTGGTCTCTAAATGTATTTCAGAAGTCTCAGTGATCTTGATTAGGGTTCAGGGTCTTGGGATAATTACTTTATCGCTAGAAAGGTTTCTCTTTAATATGACAATTGACAAATCTGTCAAATTAGCATTGTTGTAACTTTGCCATCTAGCTTCAGCAGTAAAGCACCACTTGGACAAAAAGGAAGAATTTTGTTCAAGCAGCGGATTCTTTCTAGTAAGCCATTACCTGTGACCAGATAGTTCATGATGAGTCGATTCATGTCTGCCCGCTGGACATGTAAGTTATTGAGCTTTTCCATCCACTCATCTTTTGTGATTTCATCGGGCTTTTCTGCATAACTCATTCTGATTTATTTCTAAAAGAAAATACAATAATTGGTTGAGAATTTCATACTCATCATGTTCACTTCAAAAAATACAGCCAGTTTAGTTAGAAGTGAGGGACTATATATGTACCAATACCCCTAAATGAATGTAAATATTATGTATTGCAACAATTAAAATAGAAGTGGGAGGGAAATATTTTTAATCTTGAAAACAGCACAAAAGGCCTGAGACCCAAATGTATGTTTAGGGAACACCAGCAAGGCTGGCTGCCTGCACCCCAACCGTGTAGGATATGTGACAAAGAACCTCAGAATGAAGCGGGCAAGAGGCTGGCTAGAATTAGAATGAGAAAGGCTTACAAATAGAAGGAGGCATTACAGTTCCAGGCTGAGTGCAAAAGGCAGCCAGTGCAGAGTTAAAAGCTCAAGTGCAAGCTATGACATTTGATAACGGAGGCAATCCTGTCATCAGACTGACAGAAATTAAGGAGCTTGACAATGCCAAGTGTTACAGAAGACCAGGTGTCAAGTGTTCTTTGTAAAGCTGCACATGCTGCCCCTCACAACTCAGCAATTCCAGTCCTGCTAAATCTACATCCTAGAAAAACTTATCAGAGTGCAAAAAACACAACAACTCTGCTCACACAAGAACTCTTTGGATGGACAAAAATTATGCAAGCCACTCATGCCAATGTTCATGCAACAAAAGCATAGACAAAAGAACTGTGGCATACAGAACCTATGTCCCAAACTCTTGGACAGGTAGGTTCCAGTGTTCAGAACTTTTCAGACTGTGCACAGGTGATATGGCAAACATTCCTATATATTCTATAACTGTCTCTCTAGAGCTTGGGCCAGCACTCCATAATCAGGGTTATTATTTCTTCAGTGAAATATGTTTGGATTTGCACTAAGTGGAAGGGAGGATATTAGACTTTATTAAGTCAAGTTTTGTCACCAAATAGGCTTTTGGTTTCAGAGACACTCAGATGTGAGACGTGACTGTGGTTGTGATCACACAACGAAATTTAATAAAGCAGTTAGAAATGAATGAAATCGCACAAAATCACATGGATGACTCACAAAATGATGCTGAGGTTAAAGCAGAGGCCCAAGTGTGCCATGAGTTTTTATTTTCATTTGGTACCGGGGATCGAACTCGGGACCTTGTGCTTGCAAGGCAGGCGCCGGAACCACTGAGCTAAATCCCCAGCCCTGCCATGAGTTTTTAAAGAACAAATATAGAAAATGTAGGTATTTTCAAAGGGCACAAAATGAAAAGTCTCTTCCTGTTAATGCTTAGTCCCCCATCCCAAATACAAGACAAACTATGTACTATGTGCCTTAACAATAAATACCTACCAGTGACAAAACTGTTTTTGTTCTGTACTTTTAAGTAAGGGCATGAAATCTCTGTGGGAGGAGCAGGAGGTGGGGTGGGGGGGTCACGGGGGCAGCTGTGCCAGGCTCTGGGAGCACTGCCTGGGTCTGGAGGTGGGTGCTGATGCACCACTGTCTATTGTCAAACTCTGTCACTTACGTATCCGTTGTGGATATCTGTACCCAGCACAATATGAGCTAATTTGATTCAACAAATTAAAAAAATTTAAAGTTGGCTCTGGCTTCCTGGCTGACAATGGGATAAATGTTGGGTGGCAAGAACTGAGTCAAGTCCAGCAAGGTGATGCTCCAGAGAGGAAAGCAGAAGAAATTGGAAACACCCTACATTAAGAAGCTGTGGCCACAGTCAGTGGTTGCTTCTGGACCTAGTATGAAAGGACAAAAGAAAGGGAAGAACTGAGGACAATCAGAGATCAGAGGTTTCAAGCTTGCAGTATTGGAGGCTGGGACCACAAACAAGGAGGGAAGACTGGGAGAAGAACAGGTTGGAGGAGCAGAGCAGGTCAGGCATCTGGATGACAGGCCAAGCGCCCAACGCTGGGAACAATAATTAGGCACCCCACCCCTACACAAGTTACTTAAAACCTAGAGTTCAACCAAGACCACCTAGGGAAAGAGTGGAGATAAGGAAAGAAAAGGGAGCACATTAGTTGGAGGTCACCAATAACTTCAGAGATAAGACAGAGTTGGAGATATCAAAAGGAGAAACTTTGCCGAAGGGCCACAGGAAGACGAGGTAAAAATGGGCGGCGCTTTCACACGGACAGATACTTCCCCCGGACAGATACTTCCCCCGTAGCCACAGATCAGCTGCAGAACTCACCCGGATCCAACTCAATTTACAGAATACAGATAATCGAAAGGCCGATCTGAAAAGCACCCCCTCCCAAAGCACCTTTTTCTGTTATCACGTGTATTTGGCAATTACACCGGCGCCATTCGGTGCTCTAAGCGAAGTTATCAAAGCACTTCTGTTTCTCTGGAGGACGCGGCAGCCCCGCACTTCAGCAGTTATACGGTCAACAGCGACAAATACTCCAAGCAGTAACTTAACTCCTCCAGTTCAGTCTGTTTTAACGCAGTTTTGTTATAAAAATCATTGTCACAGAGACAGATACAAGCCTCCAATAACTAACCCTGCGCTGCCCGCCGCCCGCCCTAACCGCAAACACTGGCCTCTAGCCCGCGCCCGAGTAGAAAAGCCCGCCCGCTCCGGGCAGAAGAGGGCAGCGGGAAGCCCAAGTCCGGACTCCTGCTCATGCCTCTGACCCGTGAGACCCCGGCGCAGGCAGCGCGGCTCGACGCCGGCCTCCGGCCCCGGCTCCCGACCTCAGACCCCTGGCCTCCGACCTCCCGCCCCCAACCCGCAGCGCAGGCAGCCTGGTCGGACGCCGGGCTCCGACCCCTAACCTACTGTCTCGGACTCCCAGACCCTGGCCTGCCGCCCGGTCCTACTGAGCTACTCGGGACCTGCCGCGGCCATCTTACCGTGCTGATCCCGCCTCCCGCGCGACGCGGTATGGATGGCGGGGGCTCCGCGGCCGCTCCCGGGGCCGGGGAGGGGCGGCGGCGGCAGGCGCCAAGCAGAAGGAGGCGGAAGCAGAAACCGCGGTCTAAGCGGGGGCGGGGCGGGGAGCGAGAGGGCAGACACTCCGATGGCCGTCCCTCAGCCGCTTCTCGCGAGATCACAAGATCGCGATCCGGCAGCCAATAGAGCGCTCCTGCAAGGGGGCGGGCCAGGCGATCTCCGGAAGCTGGAGTTTCAAACTTCCGCTCTTGCGCACCACTCCCCGGCGGCGCCCTCGTTCTACGGGTTGGCGCGAGAGTCAAAGGAAGTCGGCTGCTTTTGGGCAAGATGGCGGTTGTGGAGGTGTTGCAGGGCGGAGCGTTCGTGCTTGGATGGCGACGTCTAGACTAAAGCCGAAGCAAAGAGGTCCCAGCTCTTTTAGCGTCGTTTTTGTGAGGCCAGAAGGGATGAGACGGGGCGGGAAGGTGCTGATGCCTGAGACGTGAAGGGCGTCCCCTGGCTGGCGGCCTGCCAGTTTCGCGTCGCAGAGGCCTAGGGAAGGCCGTCGGGCGAGAGCTCGCCCTTCCGTGGGCGAGCAAATTCCTCCAGGTTTGCTTGGCGGAAGATACCCATCGAGTCTTCACTCGAGGCCAGAGCAGTAATCAGAGTGACGCATCCCTCGGCCACGCTCGAGAAAGGACAGGGAGACCTCTGCCCCAAGGTGCTCGTGGAGGGGATCCCTGTCCGAGACGCTCACCGGGGAGACTCCTGCACCGGAGCGGGTCCTGGTGGCCGTCAGTATGCTCAGGGCTGAGGGTGCTGGACGGAGCAGGAGGGGGGCCGGGAAGGAGGTGATAAATAGATATTTGCGTATTTATTTGCTGGTTATTGTCTGGATGCTTGAGATGAATGCAAACTCCGTCATTGTATAGTGTGTTGTAATGTTAAAAAATTTAAAAATACTTCGGGAAGAAATGTGTAGAAATTGGGGTGAGATGGTTTAGTGTGATTGCTTAAAAGTAAACTGAATCTTCAGAAAGCGAGGTCAGACTTTGCTTCACAAAAAGTAAGTTCAGTAGGCGGGCAGGTTGGACAGTGACGACTGGCGGTGGACATTTTCCATTATTTGAATGAGTTAAAGCTGCAGGTCCAAAGATCTGACACATAGCCTGTTTAAAACACAGATGCAATGCAGTCAGTAGTGACATCTTTTGTAGTGCTTAGCAGTACAAAAATTGTTTTATATCAACTCAGAAAGTGTGCAAGGAGCCTCCCAAGGGGAAAGTTTGAACCAGTGCCTTAAGGAGAGAGAATGATTTACTCTCAAGAGAGGTTAGCAGCACCTTATCATTCCTTCTAATCCTGCCTAGAAACTGGCATGTGTTTAGTATTTCCCATCCTTGAGGTCATAGTCTATTCCTTGGGTTGCCACAGGGTCTTCCTAACCCATGTTTCTCCTAGAAGTCTTGCCAGCTCCCCATAAAGCATCTCACATCTCTGTCCTTTTGACACCCTTCAGGGACTCCAGTTGCCTGCTTAACATGAGTGTAACTGGAGTCTCACCTCTTATGCTCTCATTTTGTCTATTCCAACCACTTTTAGCTTCTGTAACCCTCCATTCACCAAGTATTCTTGTCTCTGGGCCTAACATGGTGAGCCCTGTATAAGACACTTTCCTCAGCTGCTCAATAGTTGTAGCTTCTTTGGTAAATATTCCCTAAACAGAGCTGGATTTTAGTGCTTTTCCTTGTGCTCACCCAGTATCTAAAACTCTACCTTTATAGCTCTTTGCACCCTATCCCTTGTCACTGATGCCTAATAGTAAGGTGTGATTGACCATAAAAGTGTAAGCTTCATGAGGGAAAGGACAAACCTGGTTATAGCTGAGTCATCCAGCACCCAGTAGGAGCCTGATAAAATTTGTTGAGTAGATGAAGAAATAAATGAGTGAACAGTACTGAGGGCCTTAACCAGAAGCAGCAGGAGGAGACCTCCACTTAGGTGGGAAGTGGGCAGACCATGAGGGAGTTACAGGAGCGAAATCCAGAACCATGCTCAGATGTGGAGCCTGGATGGTCAAGTGGTGGCATTTACTGAGGGGAATGATCATAATGAAAAAGGAGGTAGATCAATGGGAGAGAAAGATAATGAATTCTGTGTGGGCCATGTTGAATTTGAGGTGCTATGGGATGCATCTAAACCTCAAAGTAAAGATCAGAGCTGAAACTGAGAGTTGATAAATACATTTAGAGAGATACAGAGATAAGGAGTGGCTTAAGTCTAGAGCTCAGAAGAATGGCAGTGTACAGTTGCTAAGAAAGAGGTTGCCTATTGAAGCAACAGAGAAGTGGTCAGAGAGCCCTAGAGAGAGCCAGGGACTTAGAAGGCTCTCCCCAAAGTGTTAGGGTATAGAGTTTCAAGAAGCTGTGGTTATTGGTGTTGTCCCAGCAGGAAGGTTCAGGGAGCAGTCCGCAAAACTGGCACTTGAGTTGTTGGTGACACCAGGGAGTCGAGTGACATAGTAAGAATGAGAAGGGTTCAGTTGCTATGAGTAGGAGTGAGGTGAAGATACCTAGGGCTATGCAATAGATGTGGAGAGAAGTGATCACATGAAACTGATGTGACAGGTGAGGTGACTGAGGAAGTCAAGGACCATTTCTAGGCCTCTAGCCTGTGCATTTGGATTTATAGAGAGGGATCATCCACTAAATAGGGAACACCAGTGAAGGATCTGGATTTGGGGGGCAGGTCAGAAATTGTGAGCTCATTTTTGTATGCATTAGGTTTTAAGTGCATTTGAGACAGACAAATGAGGGTGTCAGGAACTGGTGAATGTATGGATCCTGATCCGGATAGAAATAAAGGTAACCACAGCCAGATGTGCATGAGGTCTCCTTGGAGGGTGTTTGCAGCAAAGACAGGAGAAAAGAGATGAGTGGGTCCAGGGACAGGCCACGTTGGTTACCATTGGGAGCAGTCTCCAGGTTGACCAAGATGTCGGCCTAATGGTTTGTCAACTGGCTAAGCTCCCCTGTGCAGGAGATGGGCCTGTGGTAGAGGGAACTCCCCCCCTCCCGCCCACGTCTGGGGGGGCCACCAGGTAATCAGAGGTTCAACAAGCCAAAGTCTGGCTTTGAACCTGAAAAGTTGTTTCATTTTGAAAGTGTGGTATTAAGAGTATATGTCTTAAAAGAGCTAATGAGTTTTTTAAAAGAGAAGAGCATTTTGAGAATAAAATATAGAATGCTTCCAATTCTCGAATTATAGAATGTGGAAATAACAGGCTGGGGATTTAGCTCAGTGGTTTCGCCGCCTGCTGCGCAAGCGTAAGGACCCGAGTTCAATCCCCAGTACCAAAAAAATTACAGAATGTGGAAATAACAGTGCATCAGCCATGTTTTACAGAACCACATTATTTTGGCAGATGGCTTTGTTTTACTCTCCAAATCCAAAAGATGAACCTCTATACTTCAGTGTCCTGACTTTTAAAGAGATTTAGCCAAGCAAATCTCCTGATTTTTCAGGATAATTTACAAATACATTATTTCTTGCTGCTCAGTCATTAGCACAAACAGGTAGTAAATATCTATATGCCAATCTTCATTGTCTTAGCTTTTTATCATCCTTAAGTTTCCTAGTGAAGATGTTGGGAGAATTGTATTGTTACTTAGTTCTGCTGATAAATTTTGTTGACTGGGTAAGAGTAATATTTTTGTTTTTTCTTTTTGACCTTTAACTCCAGCTGATGTCGGGACACAAACTGGGTCCAGCCTGTTGGCTGAAACAGTGGGGAGGTGGTACAGTCCTGCTAGGACCAGTAGAAAAGTCCAAACAGATGCCATTTTAAGTAGCAGTTGCTTCATTTACCCAGGCAACACACATGTATGGTTTCATACTGAGTTTGAGTATGCCCTTCAGACCTAGCTGGTCAGGATTTGACATACACTTACTGGATTAGGATTTGATCTTTTTATTTAAAATTAACAAAAAAATAAATACACTTGACACAGATGCTGTGTGCATAGCTGTATCTGTATGTGTCTAAAGGTGTGTTTTTGCATAAATTAGTGACTGGAGGTAGAAGCCCTGAGTGGAGACAAGGCAGATTTTGTTTCCTTTGCTCTTTATCTTTTTTTTAAAACCCTCACACGTTTACTTTGTTTTTATTTTGGTTTGGTTTGGTTTTTGCAGTGCTAGGGGTGGAACCCAGGGCCTTGCACATGCTCTGCCCCTGAGTTCCACCCTGGCTCCACTTTTTTTTCTCTACATTTATTCTTTAAATGCTTTTTTTTTTTTATGGGAAGGACAGAAACCTTTGTTTGTTTAACATTTCTCTGCACAATCATAAAAGGCACTATCGCTGGTTTCCCACCTCCCATAGGCAGATTTATATAGATCTTATTTCTCCTGTGGACACATCAGTTTCTGAATTTTAGAAGCAGTTGGTTCAGTTTGGAGCTCAAAAAGATTCTGGTATAGGAGGGGCCATTTAGCCAGGCGTGGTGGCACACGCCTGTAAACCGAACACTCTGAGGGAGGCTGAGGCAGGAGAACCAGGAATTTGGGCCATCATAGGCTACTACTGAGTTCAAGGCCAGCCTGGACTGCATAGCAAGACTCTGTCTCAAAAAAAACCACAAAAAAAGGAGGGGTAATTTATGGACATGCCTTTGGTTGAAATTCCAAATAAAAACTGAACTTCCCTTTTAGATGTCCTTTTGATGCCCCTGTAGCTGAGCCTCTTTTCTTCCTGCTGGTATTTCTTTCAAATAGACTCCTTTTTCACTTCACCTTTTTTATAGCTAAGCAAGAACATGGATTAATTTGTCCACTACGGGTTGAATGTCCCTCTTCCAAAATGCTTAGGACCAGAAGTGTTTCCAGATTTTGGAATGTTTGCACTTATATAATGACATATTCTGGGGAAGGAAACCAAATCTACACACAAAGTTCATTTAAGTTTCATATATACCTAAAGGTAATTTTATATCATATTTTTAGTGTGGTTCCATGTGGTGATCCATCTCATGAGGTCACCTGTGGGATTTCATGTCTGAGCTCAGAAAGTTCGAAGCATTCTAGGTTTTACATTAGGGATCCTCTACCTGTTTCACCATTCCAGAAAAATCCTAATTCTGGAAGATCACTGTTTAGACCTGACTTCAAAAAGTCTCTTTCACTTTTCAAGTGCTGCATTTTCATTTGAGAAAAAAAGACCGCTCCATGTAGCTTGTGCAAGTGTAGTCTATGGTGTCCCTGAGCCCCACGCTCCAGGGGCATTGGTTGTGTGGAAGGCTTAGGAATGGTATACCCTGCCTGTTTCAGAGTTGGTCGCCTTGTTTTGGGAAGTCCAGCCCGTTTCTCCTGTGCTCCCAGGAGGCCTAGCAACCCAGTGCGTTGTGAATTTGCTTTTCCCTTTTTCTCTGTTCCATACTCTGATGTCATGACCCTGTAAGAGCAAATGTCTTATTCTTAAACTGCTTTTCTGTTATGCTCTGAAAGGCATTATTTTTTTGGCTTTCTTACTTGATGCATCCTTTAAAGACTGTTAAGAAATAAAACCAATCAGATAGGAAATAGAGATTTTTATGCCTTTTACTTATTAAAATACTGCTTTCTTTTGAAGTTGACTTTATTTACTTTTCACTGAACTTGAAAACTTTAAGAGTACCACAAAACATTATCAGGTAGGAGTAATAAGTACAGTTCGGTATTAATGTG